GTGTGTGTGTGTGTGTGTGTGTGTGTGTGTGTGTGTGTGTGTGTGTGTGTGTGTATACACACACATATATATATACACACACACACACATACACACACATACACACACATACACACACAAACACACACACATGAAGATTAATTGTCTATGTGGATTTCAATCTTATAATGTGGAAGATTGATCTAACTAACTAGATGAGAAATAAACTTATGAATCATTCAGATGAAGAGAATACCATAATAATGAAACAGAACATTTAAAGGATATTTTTCTAGTATTCAATTTTCGTCTGATTTTAAATTAGATAGCTTGTGCAGGTTGTTTATCTTTATGAATTAGTTTGCAACTGTCAAGCTTCAGTGTGGCATCACAAAATGCTAAGGAGCTTTTTACATTGCTTGTTGCATTTTTTTCACTTACATATACTTAAAGTAACCACTGTTTGTAATTGCAAAATCCTACATCAAATAAAAAGATGTAAAAACATTATCTTTAGATTATGAATTCTTTTTTCAGTTGGCAACAAATTTAAAGCAGGTGTTGGCAATTATTTTAATGCAGGAGTATGATGTTTTTAAAGAGAGTTATATGTATAGAGTTTGTCAGAATGATGCTCCAAGAATAATTGAAACAGGATTGGAAGTGTAGTGTATCAGTTTTTAATTAAGCATAATGACAAGTATTTCATCATTGTACTTCTGATGTTTAATAACAACACTTCTGAATGTTATATATATGGCCCATGTATTCAGGGTCCAATCTTGCTTTAAAGTGAGCTTCCAAATGTTTTTAAATGATCTAGCTGCAAATCTAAATTGAGAAATCTATTATCAAAGGCTGCATGTACCTGTCTATCAAGTTGTACTTGATCAAGCATGTACTTTGTTCTGAGCCACCACTTTTAATAGCTGTGGAAAGAGAATCAATTTTGTTTGTTGTTCTGGTGATCTTTTCTGGATTTCTTAGGATACCAGAACCCCCCCCCCCAATATGACTAATATTTTCTCTCTCACTTCAACGAAGTAGGGTTTCTGTTTTTTTTTAAAGTTACAAAAGAGGCAGTCACCTTGATAGCTTCTAGGTATTTTGAACAACATTCAATTAGCTCTCTTGCCATTGGCCATGTTGCTTTAGGATTAGTGGAAACTGAATTCTTTATTCCGTTTAATCTTCTATAAACCTCATTGCTTCCTCTTTGCTGGATGCAAGATGCAAACTAATACTGTATAATTAGGCTATTAAACACATGATAATGTATTAAGGAGGCAGATCTTTTTGTTGTTTACGTGGTCTCAGAGAAATGTGAATCCACATGATGGATAGATCAATATGATCTCATTGCAGTTATGATGTATATATGAAGGCATAAGCATGCTCTGAGAGCTCTCATATTTTTAACACATGAACACAAATTAATAGAACATATGGGGGTTTTCATATAATCAGGATCTTGACATGCAAATATGGAATGCTTTTTTTTATGTTAAACAACAGCCAGGTATGTGATATTTTTACTAGCAATCTAGAGCAAAGATTTCCAAAGCAGGTGATTTTAGATAAGCTTGGAATTAAAAATTTAAAAAATCTGTATTTATAGGGTTAGAATATTAATAGCATATTGTAGATATACTAGATCTAGTACTTAGAAAACATAACTGATTCAGTTATGATGGACGCCAATAAATGCACTTTAGAAATATTAAGTATAAATAAATAATTCATAATTGTCTAGTCTTTATTTTCTTTCCCCCCCCAGGTTGTGTAATAGCCGAGCTGTTTACAGAAGGTGTACCTCTCTTTGATTTGTCACAGCTTTTGGCATATAGAAATGGTCTCTTTTCTCCTGAACAGGTCTTAAGTAAAATTGAAGATCGAAGTATTAGAGAATTGGTAAATAATTCTACTCCTTTTATGGCTGCTTACTTAAGTTTTTCTACTTATTTGACAGCATTCTTTCTGAATCCTCTCCCTTTATTCTGCTACCTTGCCTCCCACCCTTGAAGGTTATTCAAATGATCCAGTGTGAGCCCGAAAAGCGTTTAGCAGCAGAAGATTACTTGAAACAACAACGTAACAATGCATTTCCTGAAATATTCTACACTTTCCTTCAGCCATATATGGCACAATTTGCCAAGGAAACCTTTGTATCTGCTGATGAGCGCATCCTTGTTATCCGTAAAGACCTCGACAATATAATCCACAATCTCTGTGGGCATGATCAAACAGAAAAGGCTGAGGGAGCGACAAAGGAAAACGGATTAGTCATCTTGGTTTCGGTAATAACTTCGTGCCTGCAGACCTTGAAATACTGTGATTCAAAATTGGCTGCCTTGGAGTTGATTCTTCAGTTGACACCTAAGTTAAGTGTAGAAATCCTACTGGATCGTATCACCCCTTATCTCTTGCATTTCAGCAATGACTCTGTGCCCAGAGTAAGGGCAGAAGCTGTTAGGACACTCACTAAAGTTCTGACTTTAGTTAAAGAAGTTCCACGGAATGATACCAATATCTATCCAGAGTACATCTTGCCAGGTATTGCTCACCTGGCCCAAGATGAAGCAACTATTGTCAGACTAGCTTATGCTGGTAAGAAGTGAGTGTGTGCTGGGTGATAAGATGAAAAATTATTAGGACTCATTTGTTCATCTGTTATTTATCCTGTAAAATAATAAAGATGGCAGCTAATTATATATAAGTGTAACTTAGGTACTGAATTTTATTTCTTTATATCGGACATTAAGTTATTAAAAATTAAAACTTATATTTGGATACATCTTTCATAGCAAGAATGTTTCTTGATTTTATGTAATATTCAATACCATTTTATATAGGCATTTCTATATAATCATATTGGTGGATGTGCTAAAAATTTAAGATAACGTTCCAGGCTTTCACACAAAATGTGTCTCAAAGATATGTTTGGAGTCATACAACTCCCATATAGTGATTGTGGCTAGTCTCAAGCCCTATTTACCCAATATGGTTTGTATAAGAAGGCTCTCTGCTACCTATATAGCCCAATGAGACATATATTTCCATTACCAACTAATTTTTTATACAAAACAAATAAACTTATGGTATTTCTATTAGTATTCCTTAAGAATGCTTATCTGGGACGAAGGAGCACTTAATAATAAATATGATACTACAAATTACTCTTTTTCTTGTAACCTGGAGAGGGAATTGGGGAGGATAATTAAAATTACCTATGGAAACATTGGTGTCCATGTTCAGTGCATTACCAACTTTTTCTGAAATATACATTATAATGTTTGCAGCATTGAAAAAAATGCTTGGTTCATCCTTCAGTTTTCCAATAACTGAGTTTTTAGGTGAACAAGCCCAATTATATAAATTTAGAGAGAAGCATTTTTGCAATTATGTATATATGTTCAGAGAGAGAGAGAGAGAGAGAGAGAGAGAGAGAGAGAGAGAGAGAGAGAGAGAGAGAGAGAG